GCTTTTGTGGGAAATTGTAATTGTTATGATTAATTGGTAACAGAACATCGTGTCGTCCAATTCAGTCTGTAATCACACTCGTGATTAACAAATCGGACTTCCGCTTCGCGGTCGTCCGATTTTGTTAATCACTCGTGTGATTACAGACCGAATTAGACTCCACTCAGTCCTATTACCATTTCTAAAAAAATAAGAAATTAAAATAAAATATATAATGTAATTTTGCATTTCTTATTTTTTTCTGATTTTGTATTTGTTGTTAATTAAGTGAATTTATGTAACTAAAATAAGTGTAAATAAATTGAATTAAACTGAGAAAGCAAGGTGAGAGGAAGGAACAAATTTGGATCCCCTCCACCCTCTCTCCTCCCCGACCCCTCCCCTGAGCCTGATTCTATCAACGCAAAAGGGCTCTGGGAACGAGCTGAGTCGCTGTTAATCACAAACCAATCACAACTGAGATTCGTTGAATGTGAATAAATTTGATTGGACAAAGGATTGGACATGGAAAATGCAGCCAATCACAAGCTTAATTTACGGTAAAGTACAAATTTCAAAAGTAAAACTTTCTACGCACTGCGAGTGGCAGCAAGTTCGAGAATTAGCGTGCTTGAAGAATTGTTGATTCCACGATTCAAACCACAGTTTCGTCGAAAGAGAAACCATGTCGGAGAACCGCATTCGAAGTTTCAAGAACAAAGGGAAGGACTCGAGTGTAAGTTTGTGTCCTGATTCGTAAGTAAAACACTGTTTGGTTGACAGCTGTGAGAACTGAATTTGAAATTGATCGTACATTGGATCGTAATGTTTTAATTGTTAGTTTTATTCTCGTTGAGCGTAACTTAAGCTGGTCAAATTGTGATCTTGTTCGTTAAACAGATGGAAAGGATAGTTATTTTATAGCTCGAAGCTTATCTTATTTATTCGTTCGAAGAACGAAGAACGAGCGTCGCCAAGCTACCTAAGCTTACTGTTTAGCGAAACAAACTCAATCTTCTGAGCTTATTAGGACGATGACGCGAAAATTTTCCAGTCGACAGATTTTTTTTAAAATTTTTACTGCAGTCAGATAATGAGTTATTTGTGTCAGAAATGCAAAAAAGAATGGGGGTCACCGACTTCGTTTCAGAGATAAAGCGTGTGGAAAACTACCCTGGTTTTGAAAAATTGGCCCACTTAATTTAGCATGTCCTACAGCAGTTTATTAACTAGTTAAAAATATCGAAGGTGAGTCAACGGAGGCAAACGATCTTAGTCATATTTGTAGAAGTGGGTCTGTTGCGTAAATAAATCCAAATGTTACCAACGTTTTCACAAAACTTAACCCTCTAAGAACCATTTGAAACCGTCGCACAGATAAACGAAGAGCTAAAAAGAACGGAATTCGATGGTGCATTTTGCAAAAAATTCAAACTTCTAGTCGATAGATTTTCTTCCTTTTCTCTCTAAACGTAGAAAATCAGTAGAGAAAATGATCAATCAAAAGAAAAATAGGGGTCACCGAACGTCCAAGATCGTTAAATCCAGGCAAAGCTATAGCAATGGCTATCTGCCCGATCCATTTTTTTTCCATTTGATACTTAGCGTGCGCTCTCATGCATGATGTGGCGTGCGAATTTGCGTGCGCAGTAAGGATACGCAGAAACAATCCACCGTAGGAAAAAAGATGGCGGCTGTACATTTTACCAAAATGCCTTGCGAACCTAACACAGCCTACAGGGCACAAAGAAAGCCAAAT